CCACTGGCACGCTCTGGCCTGGTGAACAGGAGTGAGACTGTCCCAAAAAAAAAAAAAAAAAAGAATGTATGGACCTTATTCTAGATCTCTTTGAATAAATGAATTTAGAAAAAACAAAAAAGTTTGGACACATATCAGAGATTTGATATTGGACTATATATTTCATGATATTAAAGAATCATTGTTTTGACTGGCGGTGGCTCTGCTGTAATCCCAGGCACTTTGGGAGGCTGAGGCAGGGGATCTCGGGTCCAGGAGTCAATGCCCTGCCTGGTCAAGAGTGGTGAACCCCCATCTCTACTAAAATACAACAAAACATTTAGCTGGGCGTGGTTTGGGCGAGCACCTGTAATACCAGTACTGCACAATGAGGCAGGAATGCTTCTAACCCAGAAGAGCAGAGGTGTGCAGTGAGCCAAGGACCACGCCACTACACTGCCAGCCTGGGTAACGAGCAAGACTGCCATTCAAAGAAAAAAAAAAAAAGAAATCATCAATTAGTGCATTTGGTGTGAGTGACATTGGGTTGGTGGTTCATGTTTTAAAAATAAAGTTCTGGACGGGTGCAGTGGGCTCACGGCCCGTAATCCCAGAATTTGGGAGACCAAGGCCGGCGGATGATGAGGTCAGGGATATCGGAGACTTTCTGGCGTAACTGGTGAAAACCACACCTTCAGTGGGCCCGAGAGTTTGTGCCACTGCGCTCTCCAGGCCTGGCGCAGAGCCAAGAGTTCGTCTCAAAAAAAAAAAAAAAAAAAAAAGCCTTACACTAGACAGGCACAATGACTCAAGCCTGTAATCCAAGCAATTTGGGAGGCCGAGGCAGGCCTCAGGCCAGACCTGAGATCAGGAGTTTGAGACCAGCCTGGCCAACATGGTGAAACCCCATCTGTACTAAAAATACAAAATTAACTGGGCGTGGTGGCCTGTGCCTGTAATCCCAGCTACCTGGGAGGCTGAGGCAGGAGAATTGCTTGAAATTGGGAGGTGGAAGTTTGCAGTGAGCCAAGATCGTGAACACTGCACTCCATCCTGGGCAAAAAGAGCAAAATTCCATCTCAATAAATAAATAAATAGATAAGTCTTTTCCTTTTAGACATCCACACTGAAATATTTATGGGTAAAATGACATGATATCTGGACTTGACTTTATAGTAATATGGAGATGAGTGAGTGGCAGTAATCTTGTTTCACGAGTCCATAAGGTGATATTAATTTTTGAAGCATTCTCCTCAAAAGCAAGGTTAAAAAAAAATTTGTTGAAGCAGAGTGATAGGTGCATGGGGGTTTGTTACACCGTCCTGTCTGCTTAAGTATCTGTTTAGAATTTTCCATAATAAATAATATTGACTAATAAAAATTGTTGACCGGGCGCAGTGGCTCATGCCTGTAATCCCAGCGCTTTGGGAGGCCTAGGCGGGCAGATCACGAGGTCAGATCAAGACCATCCTGGCTAACACGGTGAAACCCCATCTCTACTAAAAATACAAAAAAATAGGCCGGGCGCAGTGGCTCAAGCCTGTAATCCCAGCACTTTGGGAGGCCGAGGCGGGTGGATCACGAGGTCAGGAGATCGAGACCATCCTGGCTAACATGGTGAAACCCTGTCTCTACTAAAAATACAAAAAACTAGCCGGGCGCGGTGGTGGGCGCCTGTAGTCCCAGCTACTTGGAGGCTGAGGCGGGAGAATGGCGTGAACCCGGGAGGCAGAGCTTGCAGTGAGCAGAGATCGCGCCACTGCACTCCAGCCTGGGTGACAGAGTGACTCAAAAAAAAAAAAAAAAAAAAATAGCTGGGTGTGGTGGCGGGCGCTGTAGTCCCAGCTACTCGGGAGGTTGAGGCAGCAGAATCACTTTAACCTGAGAGGCGGAGCTTGTAGTGAGCCGAGATTGCGCCACTGCACTCCAGCCTGGGCAACAGAGCGAGACTCTGTCTCAAAATAAATAAATAAATAAATAAAAATTGTTTTTTAAACAAAGGAATATTTTTCCCTTTGAGAATTCTTTATAATACCTATTTGTTTTCTTGGGTTATGACAGATTTGGAACATTGCTACCAATAAACTGACCTTCTTGAACTCCTTTAAGATGAAGATGTCTGTTATCCTTGGTATCATCCATATGCTGTTTGGAGTCAGCCTGAGCCTGTTCAACCATATGTGAGTTGTTCCATTTCTGTCATAAGAATGTGCATAGTTTAGAGAATGCTTTTGCCTAAAGAAACCATGACATCTTTGGGGAGGGATTAATAACTCAGAACCTCATTCTACATTATAGAAGTGCTTTTCTAAAAATTTAATGGTGTGGCCAGGCACGGTGGATCATGCCTGTAATCCCAGTACTTTGGGAGGCCAAGGCGGGTGGATCACCTGAGGTCAGGAGTTCGAAACCAGTCTGACCAACATGGTGAAACTCCATCTCTACTAAAAATACAAAAATCAGCTGGGTGTGGTGGTACGCGCCTGTAATCCCAGCTACTCGGGAGGCTGAGGCAGGAGAATCACTTGAACCTGGGAGGCAGAGGTTGCAGTGAACCAAGATGGCACCACTGCACTCCAGCCTGGGCGACAGAGCAAGATTCTGCCTCAAAAAAAAAGTCTTCATGGCCGGGCCAGGTGCAGTGGCTTACACTTGTAATACCAGCACTTTGGGAAGATGAGGCGGGCAGATCACTTGAGGTCAGGAGTTCAAGACCAGCCTGGCCAACATGGTGAAACTCCATCTCTACTAAAAACACAAAAAATTAGCCAGGTGTGGTGGCAGGCACCTGTAATCCCAGCTACTCTGGTGGCTGAGGCAGGAGAATTGCTTGAACCCAGGAGGCAGAGGTTGCAGTGAACCAAGATAACACCACTGCACTCCAGCCTGGGTGACAAAGCGAGACTCCATCTCAAAAAAAAAAAAGAAATTTTTTTTTCATGGTCTTAAATGAGGCTTAATATTAGTCTTTTAACAATTTGCTGTTCCAGTAAAGATCCTTGAAAAAAACTCGAGCAATTTTCATCAAAGTAAGTGAGCTCTCTTTTTTTCCTTGATGTGCAACTCATAAAATTATTAACTGTGAACTGGGTGTGGCGGCTTACACCTGTAATGCCAGCACTTTGGGAGGCCAAGGCAGGCGGATCGCTTGAGCCCAGGAATTCAAGACAAGCCTGGGTAACACGACAAGAGACCCCATCTCTACAAAAAAAAAAAAGTTATGAACTGTGGTCTCAAAATGTACTAGATTTTTCTGTTCTCTTTCTCATGGAGAGAATCATGGGGATGGTATTGGAGCCGTTCAAGGTTCAGAAGTTTGAGGCCTGGCACAATGGCTCACATCTGTCATCCTGCACTTTGGGAGGCCAAGGTGGGCAGATCACCAGAGGTCAGGAGTTTGAGACCAGTCTGGGCAATATGGCAAAACTCCATCTCTATAAAAAAATGTAAAAATTAGCTGGATGTGGTGGCGCATGCCTGTAGTCCCAGCTACTCGGGAGGCTGAGATAAGAGGATCACCTAAGCCTAGGGAGGTTGAGACTGCAGTGAGCCAAGATTATACCACTGTACTCTGGGCTGGGTGGCAGAGTGAGACCCTGTCTCAAAAAAGAAGAAAAAGCAACAGCAAAACAAAACCAAGGTTCAGAAGTTTGACCGTGATAGTTAATCCTGCATTGTCTCTGTTGCCTCCAGCTTCTGGTTGCTGCTGCTTAAAGTGATAAAGACGGAGTTCAGGGGGTATTAAATAGAAAAATCTAGTGAATACGCCATTCAGTGTAGGAGTGGCCCTAGGCCCATTTACCCTTAACATTTTTTTCTCTCTCTTTTTTAGCTATTTCAAGAAGCCCCTGAATATCTACTTTGGATTTATTCCTGAAATAATCTTCATGACCTCTTTGTTTGGCTATTTGGTTATCCTTATTTTTTACAAGTGGACGGCCTATGATGCTCATACATCTGAGAATGCACCAAGCCTTCTGATCCATTTCATAAACATGTTCCTCTTTTCCTACCCAGAGTCTGGTTATTCAATGTTGTATTCTGGACAGGTACGTCAACCCAGAGGCGGGCTATCTGAGATGATTATCCTTGATCAGGAAGCCAGATGTTTCTCTGACCCTAAAAAATTTATAACTGCCCTTCTATGGGACAATTCTAGAGCTTTGCCACAAAATGTGCTAATTATTTTGTGAAACTGGATAGTGTTATTCATAAATTAGTAAGAAAGTACTGTTGGGGCAAATTTGTGCCAGACTTGGAAACTGCGTATGTGATCAGTAGACTTTTATATGATGTACCTTGTCCTTCTTCTTACTCTGCAGAAAGGAATTCAGTGTTTCCTGGTAGTGGTTGCGCTACTGTGTGTACCTTGGATGCTGCTGTTTAAACCACTGGTCCTTCGCCGTCAGTATCTGAGGCGAAAGCATTTGGTAGGTGTATTTTTATTGCTAAAAGTTACTAGACTTTTCTTTTGTTCAAGATAATTATGCACAAATCTGTATATCTGTATACTCTTTTTTTTTTTTTTTTTTTTATACGGAGTCTCGCTCTGTCGCCCAGGCTGGGGTGCATTGGTACGATCTCGGCTCACTGCAACCTCCACCTCCCAGGTTCAAGCAATTCTCTTGCTTCAGCCTCCTGTGTAGCTGGGATTATAGGTGTACACCACCACACCTGGCTAATTTTTGTATTTTTAGCAGAGACAGGGTTTCACTATGTTAGCCAGGCTGGTTTCGAACTCCTGACCTCGTGATCCGCCCACCTCAGCCTCCCAAAGTGCTGGGATTACAGGTGTGAGCCACTGTGCCCAGCCACAAATCTGTATACTCTTACAACGCATTTGTGGCCAGGTGCGGTGCCTCACGGCTGTGATCCCAGCACTTTTAGCACTTTGGGAGGCCAAGGTGGGTAGATCACTTGAGGTCAGGAGCTCGAGACCAGCCTGGCCAACATGGTGAAACACTGTCTTTATTAAAAATACAAAAATTAGCCAGGCGTGCTGGTGCGAGCCTGTAGTCCCAGCTACTTGGGAGGCTGAGGTGGAAGGATCACTTGAACCTGGGAGGCGGAGGTTGCAGTCAGCCGAGATTGTGCCACTGTATTCCAGCATGGGGACAGAGTGAGACTCTGTCTCAAAAACAAAAAAAAACCCAACCAAACAAAACGCATTTATGTTATGTCCCAGCACGAGCACTGGGCCTGCCAGGTCAGAGAAACGTTTCTGCTGCTCAAGACATCTGGATTCAGCTTTGAGTAGCTGGGGTAGAGAAAAGTCACAAATTTTTACCTTTTCTGGTCATGCTTTGCTCACGCTGCACTCAGGAAAATGTAGGCCTGTGTCTGTCTAGATGTAGCATCAACCAAAGCCAAGCAAGGCTGCAAGAGCTGCAGACGGGTGAACTCACTCATGTGGTTTGCCTGAGCAACCACAGGACTGACATTGAGACATTTTCCTTTCAAATGAGACTGTGATACTTTCACTGACCAAAACATCTGGGAAAAAGGTTTGTTTTAAAGCACGTTGATTTTTTTTCTTTTTAAAAAAGCAGCATATGTATATATGTTTACTTAATGTCTGTGTGTATATGAATTCTACACACACACACACACACACACACACACACACACACAGTTAAATTTGCTAGATGTTCAGTATCATGCGTAATTTCTGGGTATCCAATAGCACTTTCTTTACACTGCCTAAGAAAACCCAAACGATCTTGTTGCATGACTCTTAAACGGCTGTTAGATGATGACTCCTGTTGGAGAGCAGCTGAGTTACAAGACCCTCCTTCTCCCTTTTCTGACCATCTTCATCCTTCCATGTACCCTCCATTCGTCTCCCCCTTCACTCCCTCCCTCTTTTGTTTTCTCTCCCCTTCCTCTTTTCTTCCATTCACTATCAGGAAGGGCAACCTGTGGAGGCCCCAGTCAGCCCAAACCCGAGCCAACAGGGACTAGAGGCAGCAGCGGCTGCAACAGTGAGTGAATGAAAACCAACAAACCATCACATTTCATTTAAAGAGGTGGCAAACAGTGCAGCAGAATTCTTTTTAATTAAATTGAGAGCATGGGACATGTGTGCTCTTGGGAAATATGTCCTTGTTACTCACTGAGATGATAACAGAAGTTCCACCTCTTAGGGATAGATTCTGGCATCATCTTTAGTATTGGTCTACTAAGTTTCTATTCAAATATGTAAGTACAGGCATGTCCATAGTAACAAAGTGGCTGTTGTACCCTCACTGAGTCCCATCATCTTAATCCAAGATGGCAGCTCTTGGACTCACCCACTTTCATGTCTGTATTTTGTGACCATGTATTGGATGATTTTTCAGCATGGAAGCAAGAATATCTCTGATTCTTGAATTGATTTCCCTGCACTTTAGAGTTGTACTTTAGAGTGATGCTTGGACATTTGATCTTTTTTAGTAGTAACTTAACTTCTTTTTTAAAAGTGAAAGTTTATACATGTTTAGTGTTTTGTGAGAGACTCAGAAGACCTCACATGTCCTCAACTGTTCCAGTGAGACCTCCACTCTCCGATGTGTTGTGTTTACTGTCATCTGGTGTCATAACCAAAGTGATCTGTCTTGATCCTTTCCTCTTCTGATACTAATTCAAGATTCAGTAATAGCACTTTGAATATTTGTCCTCAAAAACATCTTTTAACCTAAGTCTTACAATGCACAAATATATTAGCCTAATATATTCTAAGTTATGAATGAATCTATAAGATTGTAAAAGTCTCACCAGTAGTGATTACCCATTACTTCTATGTGCTAGAAGTATATACTTCTTTAAATAAAATGAAAGATTTAGATGGATAACCATTTCCTTCATTAAGTATTTCTGATTATTTTAAACTTGGAAAACTTCTTATGGTCATCCTTCTGGAACTAGTCTAAAAGGGCTGACATTTTGGGTCAGAAAAAAATTTTAATCTTGCTGCTTAAAATATATTTTCAAGTAGGGACTTCCCTGTGAGAAATTTTAAAAACCTTTAGAACACATACTACCTATTGTCGATGTCCTTAACACGTACTCTTCTTTCTGCTGGTCTTAGCATATATAAGATATGCTTCTGACAAGATCTTAATGCATTTAAGTCTGGCAACCTCTTCTGTGACAAATTCTAAGTTAAAAGTCCCCTGTCTGGAAACCAGCACATTCACAGGGTCTTCTTACCCCACTGGTTCTTTAGCCAAACATCTGTTCCTGGAGAGCAACCTGAAGGCATCAGGATGATCATTCTAGAAGAAAGCCTCTGGATTTTTGACCCCAGAGGGCTGAGGAGATGAACAGTGATCTGATTTTGTTCTGTGCTTTGTCCCCTTGGTTGTCTGTGAGTGATATATCACAGTTTAATTTTTCTTTCCTTTTCTCTGCTGACATGTGTCTTTCATCCCCCTTCCTGTAACTCTCATTCCTGTGTTCTGAAGAGATCCTTGTTAGTGTCTGGCTGGGAAATTTAACCTATCTGCCCCTCAGTTTATTTGCTAGTTGGAGAAAGCTTCAGAAATGGCTTTCTACTTTGGGAGCCTTGGACCTTGAAGCCTTCCTCCTGTATCCTATAACCCAGCCTGGGATATGCAGGAGTCCCCTCCGGTGCCCTTTGTTGCATTTTCAGTCCACCTTCTGAGGGTTGCCAGGTGGAATATGTGCATGATCTGGAGGTATCCAGGCTCTGGTGGCCCACAAGTCTGACTGCACTTCAGAGTCATCTGGTAGACTCTGAATTTGTTTCTTAGGGTATTAAAACAAATAAGTGGAAGAAGAAATAAAAGTGGCCCATAATTTCATGGTCCTGACAATCCCCTACTGACATAAAAAAATAAAGGAATATGTGCACTTGGCTAGAGAATGCCTATAGTGCTAAGAAGAAAACCACCTGCCCCCACTGTAGTCCTCCTCTTCAAGGGGCATTGTCAACAGGTGGGGGCCTTGCCTCTGACAGATACCTGCCTGTCTTCTATTGATAGGTGTGTGTGTGCTCTATGCATGTAGAGAAAGACACATGAGGAATTGTGTTTTAAACTGTGGCACTCTTCTGCCTCTCGATTTATTATGTTTTTTAAAAGTTAGTGTATCTTAAAGATTGTTTCATAGTGATAATGACTTTTTTTTTTTTTCTGAGATGAAGTCTCGCTCTGTCACTCAGGCTGGAGTGCAATGGCGCAATCTCACCTCACTGCAACCTCCACCTCCTGGGTTCAAGCAGTTCTCCTGCCTCAGCCTCCTGAGTAGCTAGGAGTACAGGCATGCACCACCATGCCTGGCTAATTTTTGTTTTGTTCTGTTTTGTTTTGAGGTAGAGTCCTGCCCTGTTGCCCGCGCTAAGAGTGCAGTGGCACGATCTCGGCTCACTGCAACCTCTGCCACCCCGGTTCAAGCAATTCTCCTGCCTCAACTTCCCGAGTAGCTGGGATTACAGGCACCTGCCACCTCACCTGGCCAATTTTTGTATTTTTAGTAGAGACGGGTTTCACCATGTTGGCCAGGCTGGTCTTGAACTCCTGACCTCGTGATCCACCTGCCTCAGCCTCCCAAAGTGCTGGGATTACAGGCGTGAGCCTCCGCGCCTGGCCTAATTTTTGAATTTTTAGTAGAGACGGGGTTTCACCATGTTGGCCAGGCTGGTCTCGATCTCCTGACCTTGTGATCTGCCCACCGTGGCCTCCCAAAGTGCTGGGATTACAGGTGTGAGCCACCATGCCTGGCTGACTATCGCTCTTTTTTATGGTTGCCTAGCTTTCCATAGGATATTCCACTGGATATGCCAAAGTCCTCTCTTTGATGGATGTGTTGGTTGCTCCCAATTCTTTGCTATCACAAACAGCAATGCAGGGAACATCCTTGTCCATGTGTCTTTTTTTTTGTTTGAGACACAGTCTCGCTCTGTTGCCCAAGATGGAGTGCAGTGGCGCGATCTCAGCTCACTGCAACCACCACCTCCTGGGTTTCCGCGACTCTCCTGCCTCAGCCTGCAGAGTAGCTGGGATTACAGACCCCTACCTGCACGCTCAACTAATTTTTGTATTTTTAGTAGAGACGATGTTTCGCCGTGTTGGCCAGGCTGGTCATGAACTTTTGACCTCAGGTTATCTGCCTGACTCAGCCTCTCAAAATGCTAGGATTACAGGCATGAGCCACCACGCCCAGCCCCTTGTCCATATACCTTGCCAAAGTTTTGCAAGCCTAGATGTTCCAGCAGTGGGATTGCTGAATCTCAAAGGGTTCATGCATTTAAAATTTTGATAAACCCTTCACAATGATTATACAATTTGTACTTGGGAACATATTTTGTAAATACAGATTTATTCGGCCCCACCCCAGAACTACTAAATTTACAATTTCTGGGAGTAGTATTTGAGAATTTCTATTTAAAATGCAGCTTTTGGGGTGATTCTAACGCAGCTAGTTCTCTGACCAGCATGTTAAGGACCACTGCTAGAGTAGGAGGGAGGATTTGTGCAAACACTTAGGTCTGAGCTGGGCATTAAACTGTGACAAGAGCTGTGGCAAGAAATGCACACCAGGAGGTAGAGCTGAGGATGAGGAGCACAGGGCAGCTGCGCAGGCCGCCTGCACACTGCTTGTGCTGCTGCCTGAAGGCCAGGTTGCTGGAGAGCCGCCCTTGAGCTCTTGCCTTGTTTGGCCCTCTGAACAGAAACTATATGAAGTGAATCTGGGGCTGTTGTTTAAATTCCTTTTCATGCTGTGGCAGGTTAGCACTAATTGGGGTCTGTGAGACTTAACTCATTTCTGCCTGGTTTTTGTTCCCAAAGAGTCTTTTTTGCTTTGGGTTTGGAAAAACTCAAGTTTTTTCAAATCAAGTTGACTTTAAAATTGTACTTTTGGAGACCCTACCAAAGACTGTGCCTGTGAATTCAGAAGAAGCAAATGCCCCGTCAGCGTCTGCCCGCGTGCCTGTGGAAGAATTATTTTAACATTCCAGAGCCCTCCACTGAAGAAAAGGAGCCCCCTCCTCATCTTTTTAAGCTCAGCACTCTCTAGCCACAAGTGAATATACATTAAGCTTTTTTTTCCTTCTCTGACCTTGGAAGTTCTTTGTTCCTGGGCAGAGACATGGTACATTTCTGGAAGAGGTTGCTGGAATTCTTGGGCTCCTGTTAAAAGCTTATCAGACTAGTGTACAATCACCATGTCATTTGGCCCCTCTTCCTCTTAGAAAGTCTAATTGTTAGTGCCAGAAAAGCTTAGGCCCTTGCAGGCTTTACAGATAGAGCTGTACTTGTAATGAGAATCTGTTCCTATTAAGGTTTTCATTCAAGCAGGATTCTCAATTAGCGTTGACCCAGGTGAGGCTGGTGCCTCTTGGCACAGTAGACAGAACTGCATATTTCCTCTGAAGCAGGGTAAGGTGATAACTGTAGGTTGGTCTGGGGCTGGGGAAGGTGGTGGTTGGGGTGGAACAGTTGTTTGATTTTACTTAGCTGTTCAGTCAGTGGGTTTTGTTTTTGTTGTTAGACTATATGCTTTTCTGAGGTTTGTGTTACTAACCATCGCCCTTCCCACCTCACAGAATGTCATGTTAAAGCCCAGGCAAATTCTACTCTTTCTGTTCATCTGTGTAGGGAACTCTCAACTTTGGTGGGATCAGGGTGGGCAACGGACCGACAGAGGAGGATGCTGAGATTATTCAGCATGACCAGCTCTCCACCCACTCAGAGGACGCAGATGAGGTAAGATCCCGTGGTGTGGGCTTCCTCTCCTTCCACCTCGGGTCAGCCCTAGTCTTGTGTACCCTAAGAGGCCTCACTCCAGTCTTCTCCTTGAAAAATAAAAATACTAATTAATACTCAGCCTGCCTTCTGGACCTCTTAGGGCACCACAGCTTTTTCCAGTGGACCCTGCCCTAAGCTCCAGCTGTTGCCCCCAGAGCCTGCAGCAGTTTTGTTCCTGTCTTGAATTCCAGATTTTGCCTGCAGTGCTCTGCACGCAGGTCTCCATTACTGACTGCTCTCTCGCCTGAGGCAGAGCAGGCCTCAGCATCCCAACTCTTACGACCTGAAACACAGGTCACTAAGCACAGCTTCTTCATCCATTGACCCTTACAAGGATCACTCCATTTGCATTACTCACCAGCTGTAATCACTGGTACTTTTGAAGTCCTATACCACTGATGTGTTCTTGCTGCAGATATTTTGTTTGAGCCTTTTTGGTGTCATTTGCCTACTTTTTACAGGGAGAGAGAGAATTAGGCCAAACTAGACTTTTCCTTAAGATAGCACCTCCAAGCCCACTCTCCTTGCCTGACCCCTTGTAGCACAAAGCCTCTGAACTGAACTATTAAATCTCATCTGCTCATTATGTTCTTTTTAAATCAAATAAAATAGGAGTTGAGGACCCAAGTTGGACTTTTCAGTCTGTCTGACCACTTTCACTATATATGCTTTTTTAAAAAAGAAATCACAAGGCCTGGGGATGCCTTTAAAAAGTACCTATCTTAATGCTCTAAATTCCTGCTGATTTCGCTTTGTGTGTATGCTGAGGAGGCCTGCCTCCAACGTGCTAGCCCATTTAACACGAACAATCCTCCCCAAGAAGCATTCAGTAGCCTTGTGCTCCTAACTTGTGACCTTGTGTGTGGCGTGGCTCCCCACTAAGTGTAAATTTGTGTTTTCAAGCCTACCGAGGACGAAGTGGTAAGATGAAAGTTGGCGTTGCCTTCGTGTTTATCTGGGCTTCTCTCTTCCCATCCTTGTAATCACTCTGCTGACCCTGCCACACCCTGGGGCCACACACATGACTCCTGTGCATCCTGCATTTCACTGGCCATTTCTAACCAGTTCGTGAACCTGTGTTCTAAAAAGCTCATCTCCATTAACTGCATCTCATTTGGTCACCTCTGTCTTTGTTTCATTGACTTTGCTGATCTAATGCCTCAGAGAATGGCTTTGAAAGGAGCTACAAGTAATGTCTGCACTGGCATTCTTGAAGTGACTCCTCTTGGGGGTTAAGTCCCATTGGCCTCTGCCTTCCTCTCCTGTGATGTTGTGGTTGTTCTACTCCCAGCCACTGGAAGTAGCCGTTTCCTCCCTGCTCCTCCAAGTGCTTGTGAGCAAAGCTTACCCTTCCTCCCTGTCTGAGCCAGCCTCTTCCTGCTGCCCTCCTCAGCTTGATGATGCTTCAACTTAGAAGTGGTGGACCCTTCTCGGGGTCAGCTCTACCTCCATGTGACCCAGGTGAGAGGGAGACAGCTTTCAAAAGGAGGCTTTGCCTTCCAGATGCATCCCAAAGGAAATAATCCATCTGGGTGAAAGGAGTTAATACTATATCAGCCACACATAGAGAATAACAGAGAGTAACAGAGACTGGAAAGCAAGTTGACTAACTGTTCAGGCCACATCTCGAGTAGAAGGCCCTCTGGCTCAGCAGTAATTTACTTAGCAACGTACACTCTTTAAATTGGGTTTTTAAAAGGCCTTGCTGCACTGTTTGCATCTTCCCCCAGCACTTCTCTCTAAAATGTCTAGACCCACAAACTGTACCCTTCCCTTCCTGACTCTCTGGTCCTCTCTAGGAGGGCAGTGGGATGGGAATGGGAAAGCCTTTGCTGTTCTATGTAAACACAGGCAGGGCCTGGTCTTCCTGAAGCCTAGAGAGGCTCCTTTGCTGGCATCAAAGAGTGTCTATATTCCTGGACTGCTCATCTGTGCAGTCCCTGGCTGAGCTACCTGGCAGGGATGGGTGGGGTGTGCTCCATGTTAGTGAGGAGCCCAACCCTTTCCCAGGCTCACTGCCTCCAACAACACTGCTTTTTAAATGTCTTCCTAGCCATGCACCCACATTGTCAGAATGGTCTGACCAGCTATTGTGCACCAGTGTTCTCATTTGTAGCCATATCCCAGGAGGCTGGACATCCAACAAGATAGACTCTAATTCAGCCCCCAATCCCTGGCCACCCAGCTCACTCAAGGATTCAGCTACCCTTGGCTACCCAAGTAGTCTAAACATTTTATTTTTATCAGGCACATACACAGTCTGGTTCTCTATAGCCAAATTTAGATACCCATGACATTTATCTAATGATTTCAAACAAAACAGATTCCTAAAAAAAAAGTTCAGCCTACTTCTGGAACTTCTCCATTTTGCCTGGCTGTGAAAATGTATTTGTCCCATGCAGGCCCTTGCTCCAGCCCAGTGGAAGCATTAGTACCTCTCCCTAGTGGGGACTCAGTCCAGCTGCACACCAGAGCCAGGCCACTTGGTTGTCTGGGAAATCTTCAAAGGCCGTGACCACTCAGCAAGGGTCAGTGGCACCTCTCCCCACTGTCTCCTCACCAGGTGCATTCATCCCACCCATCCATGCATTCACTCACTCTCCATGCGTCCAGCACTATGTATAGTGCTACAGAAACAGAGAAGAACATAGTGCTTGCCTTCAAAGACCTCCCAAAGTGGGGAGACAGTCTGGATGACAGGTGCTGTGATAGAAGTGTGCCCCAGATGCTATGGGAGCACAGAAAGAGGGCAGCTGATGAACACTGGGGTGAGGGTGGAAAAGGAGACCCTGGAAGGACTCCCTAAGGAAGTTATCTTACTCTGGTCAAGCAGGAGGCCCTGTAGAGGAGCGATGCAGACCACCAGCATATGCAGCTTCACAGGCAAAAGACCTGCAGGCCCATCACATGTTGGGGACTAGCAAGTATTCAGCTTGGCTGGAGCAGAGGCAGGGGCGGGGAACTGGGGACAGGTGAGACTGGAGGTTGGCAGAAACCAGCCATAGTAGTTTTTGCCTCATTTGGACAACAAGGAGCCATCCAAGAGACGGTGGTGAAGCTGGTGGTGACATAGCCATGGTGCATTGAGGAAATACCCCCAGTGACCATGTTGTAGGGTATATTGGGTTGGGGAGGGGCAAGGTCAGGAGGCATGGACACATCATTTGATGTCATTCAGGACAGAACAGAAAGCCTGAAGTGAAGTAAGGTGTTTGTAGGACGAGTTGGAAAGGAAGGAACCAATATGAGATATTAAAGAAGTGAAAGCTATAGGTCCCAAGGCCAGGCGCGGTGGCTCACGCCTGTAATCCCAGCTACTTGGGAGGCTGAGGGAGGAGAATCACTTGATTCTCCTGGGAGGCAGAGGTTGCAGTGAGCTGAGATCATGCCACTGCACTCCTGTTTCAAAAAAGGAAAAAAAAAAAAACACCTCGATAGAGACTAAAAAGAACTGTCCGGAGAGGTAGGAGGAAAACCAAGGGGAGACAGGTATTTCAAGAAGGAGGAAGAGGCCATAGTGACAGACACTGCAAGAGCATGGACAAGGACACAGAACGTCTGTTAGCTTTAACAACTGGGCCGGATGCGGTAGCTCACGCCTGTAGTCCCAGCACTGTGGGAGGCCAAGGTGGGTGGATCACCTGAGGTCGGGAGTTCAAGACCAGCCTGGCCGACATGGTGAAACTCCATCTCTACTAAAAGTACAAAAATCAGCCAGGTGTGGTGGTGTGCGCCTATAATCTCAGCTACTAAGGAGGCTGAGGCAGGAGAATTGCTTGAACCCGGGAGGCAGAGGTTGCAATGAGCTGAGATCACGCCACTGCACTCCAGCCTGGGTGAACAGTGAAACTCTATCTCAAAAAAAAAAAAAAAAGATGTAACAACTGGGAGGTCAGGGTGACCTTGCTAAGTAGAGGCATTTTGTGGAGGAGTGAAAGTGGAAGCCAGGGTGCAGTAGGGTGACGACTGGCTGGGCAGAGAGGAAACTGAGGCAGAGGATGTGGACATTGACTCTGCAGCGATTCATGGTCGGTCATGGCTGATTGATACTGGGTGTGTGCTGAGTGGCAGACTCATAAGTGCTAGGCTGGATTTCTCACCCAGTCCTTGCCTCTCCTGAGAATGCCTGCAGGAAGCTGGGAATGAAGGAGAGAAGGCAAGGGTAAGGCCTGGAAGCGAGGCTTCTCTCCCGTCCTGCACTTTTTTCAGTGGGAGAAACTTGAGGTGGAATGAAAACACGGAAGGGTTGGCTGTAAGGGAGCCCAGTGGTCACTGCCCCCCTGGCCCATAGGAGTAGAGATCAGCACTCCTGGGAGCCATGGACTTCTTCCTTTCGATGCAGGCCCTGTGGCGGCAACCAGCAGTGGTAGGAAAGAGCTCTTAACCACGGTGTTACGATTTAGGAAACTCAGGAAACTAGGATTACCCTAGTTTTCAGGGTAAGTAAGGACACTTGAAGAGCCTGTTCTGGAAGAAAAGCCCAGAAATAGACTAGGTGTCGATAGAGGTGAGGGAAAAGCAGACGTTTGCCCAGAGATGGCATGGTGGAGTCAGCCCCCTCCACACTGGCTGCACCCCTGTGGCCTGGGCTGTTGTGGCTTTACCAGCCGAGCCACTTTCTCCCATCCCCATGTTCTCAGTGATTTCCCAAGGCATTTCTGGTGTCCTTTGGGAGTGGAATCACGTGGGTTTTTAAAGGAACTGCTGCGAAAAATAGACCCTGATCTGAAGGCAGGGGCCGATGGGGAGGCCACTGAGCCCTCAGGAGTGTCTGAAAGGTCAGAGGATTGTGGTCTGGGCTCTGTGGGGGAAGCCCCGTAAGGGAGTGCCTCCTGGTCTTTGGTCAGCCTGACAGAGTGAGAGGCCCAGGGAAGGTACCTGGGGCTTCCAGAATATACCAAATTCAAAAGCCCACGTTCACCCCTGACTGTGCTTGGAGCAATCCTGAAAGTGCACTCCCAAGAGCTTGTTCCAGCCCATTCCTTTATTCTGGAAATAATTCTTGGTATTGAAAGGAAAACTGGGACAAAGGGAGCTTGAGGAAAATGAAAACAAACAAACTGGAGATGTGCTGTTTGGCCTTAACCCATGTGGAAATTCGTACACTCCATTAGGATTTCCCTGTACATGGTGGTGAAATCATGTAGGGAAAAAAAATTCACCATGTAATCTCTTTAGACGTCACAAAAGAAAAAGAAGGTTATCTTGCTCCCTAAAGGCTGTAAAAAGAATAAGTAAAGTGGCTGTAGAGGCCTAGTCTTCTCAGGACAGTGTCCAGATTGAGAGCCTATCTCCTGAAGCGCAGTCTGGGGAAAATCCCTTCCTGCCCTCCTGCAGGTCCTTAGGGTCCCAGACTCAGACAGTCACTTTCCCAACAGTGTCTCAACTCAGCACACGCTCCCCTCTTGAGCACAGAGCCCCAGAGGGAGAAAAACAAATGTGTCGAGAAGAATCTTTACTAAGATGTAGTTAATGAAAATGTAGTGTATTGAGGGGAATGGAGGTGTCCCAGGTGAGGGCTAAGCCAGGCAGGATTTTTGGGGAAGGCATTGCCGAAATCACCACCTGAGTTCAACACTGGGTGCTTCTGGCCGCTCCAAAGTTGAGGTGCCAACCATGGGAAATGCAGTCCCCTGCCCTGGCCCAGGTTCAAAGCGCCAGGTAGCCACAACTCAGAATGCCTGCACATTCCCCTCCTAGCCTTATGTTTTCTCTCTGGTTTCCTCCCACGACAGTTTGACTTTGGGGACACCATGGTCCACCAGGCCATCCATACCATCGAGTACTGCCTGGGCTGCATCTCCAACACTGCCTCCTACTTGCGGCTCTGGGCCCTCAGCCTTGCTCATGCGCGTGAGTACCCCTCTCTGGGCTCTGGAACTCTAGTTTCCCCCTCTGTGGTCGTACTCTCAGTTGGGGAGCTTAAGTAGAATGGAAATTACATGAAGGTTCTGGAATTATTCAGGTTCCTGAACGCAAGGAGAATGAGTACAGACAGGAGGCTCGGCACTTTTGCCAGGTTAGCTCTGCATGGTGGTCCCACTAAGGCAGTGGGAAGCCAGGGTCCAGGGAACCCTAGTGGGGGAATGGCAGAGCAAAATTCGTGCCTACAGCTGCCTCTTGCCAAACTGCCCTGGATTTTGTGTCTCCCATTCCCCAGAGCTGTCTGAGGTGCTTTGGACCATGGTGATCCACATCGGCCTGAGCGTGAAGAGCCTGGCAGGAGGTTTGGCGCTGTTCTTCATCTTCGCTGCCTTTGCCACCCTGACCGTGGCCATCCTCCTGATCATGGAGGGCCTCTCAGCCTTTCTCCATGCACTGCGCTTACACTGGTGAGGGGCAGTGGGGCAGGGCGGGCGTGGGGGTGGATGTGTCCTTAGCTGCGGTGAGAGGGCAGCTTTTCTCCCAACACAGCCCTGCAGCTCTGTGCAGGAAACATGAGCTGGCCCTGCACTAGCTTTACCTCAGGACACCCCAGCACCAGCTTTGCCACTGAGTTTCAGAAAATGATCACAGAAAAGCACAACTCAGCCTTCCCTAGACTCTAGGGAGAGGTCCCTGGTGAGTGGTGTCAGGTCCCGCTCCCTGCCTTTAGCTGTCCCCAGTGCTCCTGAGTTTGGCTTAGAGGGGCTGCTGGGGTCGTAGGGTTTCTGGTTTTCTCTCTGGTGTGTAACTCTTCTGTCTTCAGAACAGTGGAAGCAGCTCTGGAATGGATGCTAAGTGCAGGAAAGGCTAGAGCACACTGCACCCCAGCTTTGCCCTCGTTGTTCTGTCATTGTGCCAGGGGTCTTTGAGTTGGACCCTTGGCAGCTCCATTGTGGGCTGGGGGGATTCCTGGCTCTATAGGGTGAAGGTTGGTACACTCACGAAGCTTCTTCAGAAGGGCAGGTTTGGGGTGGTTCTGTTTGTTTTCTTTAATGGACTCCTAATGGCTCTGTGTGGAGAAAGCATGAGTTCAGCCTCTGGGACTGGGAGAGCGGGGGTGTAGTCTGGGCTGTGACCACCTCAAACCAGGGTTGCCAGATTTAGCACATAAAAACACAGTGTGGCCGGGTGTGGTGGGTCACGCCTGTAATCCCAGCACTTTGGGAGGCTAAGGCAGGTGAATCACTTGCCTCAGGAGGTGATTCGAGGTCAGGAGGAGGTCAGGAATTCGAGACCAGCCTGGCCAACATGGTGAAACCCCGTCTCTACTAAAAATGCAAAAATTAACCAGGTGTGGTAGCACATGCCTGTAATCCCAACTACTTGGGAGGCTGAGGCAGGAGAATTGCTTAAACCCAGGAGGTGGAGGTTGCAGTGAGCCAAGATTCTGCCACTGCATTCCAGCCTGGGCAACAAAGCAAGACTCTGTCTCAAAAAATAAAAAAAAAAAAATACAGTGTGTATTTCACATAAACAACAAATAATTTTTTCAGTATGAGTATTTCCCAAATGTGCATGGGACATGCTTATACTAAAAACTGGGGCAGTCTGTATTTTCTGTGGCTGTTCCACCTCAGACTCTACTTCTTTGGGTCTCTATTTCCTCCTTGATGTTGTGATTCTCTTTTTTGGGGTCTCCAAACCCCAGTGTCTCTGGAAGTTCTGGCCCCTCTCCCCAGAGAAGCACTCACACACTCCTCCTGTTTTACGAGCATAGGGGTCTGACTCACTGGTGTGCCTTGGAGGCCCCTGGATGGGATGCTCTGTGTTCATGAGCCCAAGGCCAGAAGAAGACTGTGAATGTTCTCTTCGTTCTCCAAACCTGAAGAAAATCCAGCATCTGAACCTGAGAAACTCCTTCCCCGCTCCCCTTTATCTTTGATTTTCTCATGGCTGGGTGACCGCGAGCCTCCTCAAAGATTCAGCTGTGGGTTTTTCTGAATGACGGGCGGAGGGTGAGGCATGGAAGGGCAAGACGTGGCTGGGGTGCACTCTTCTTCAGAAACCCTGCTGTGTCAGTAGACGTAGCTTCCTCTGGCCTGGCTCTCTTCTGTCTGGCCTCCCTCCTCCCCACCCAGCTCATCTGGCTGGCCCCCGTATTCTCAGCTTATCAGCCGACCCCCCTCCCCCAAGCACACTTCCTCAGCCCTCCTCGGTGCACGAGAAACCTCTGAGGATTCACTTTTTCTTGCCCCTTGGTCTCCTTCCTTTTCTTTTCACTCCTGTCCCTTGAGCCCTGGGTTTGAGGGAACAGTGACCACCTCACCTTGATTCCAGCCCACGTGGGTAGCCAGTCATCTCCTCCCTGGGCAGGGCGGGAGCTGGGCACTGCTACAGAGCAAGGTCGCCTGGGCCTGAGCCTGGTTTTGTTGCCAGAGGATTGCTTCCTCCTCAGGCTCACCTGTGGCCTCCCCGTGTCTTCCCATGTCCCCCTGAACTGAAGTGATGAGTGACAGGACAGCAGGCTTCCGAATCGGGCGACCTGGGTTGGAATTCCAGCTCTGTCACAGCAGGGAGGGGACCTGAGCAGAACATTCACTACCAAGGTTACTGTGAGCAAGTAGGAAGTGATGCACACACCAGGTGCTGCCACAGCAAAAAGCAGGTGCTCCAGGATGGGTCACGGCTGCTCTGCTTAAAAGTGGGATGCCCTTGCTGGGTACCGTGGCTCACACCTGTAATCCCAGCATTTGGGGAGGCCAAGGCAGGCGGATCACCTGAGATCAGGAGTTCGAGACCAGCCTGGCCAACATGGCGAAACCCCATCTCTACTAAAAATGCTGGGCGTGGTGGTGGGTGCCTGTAATCCCAGCTACTTGGGAGGCTGAGGCAGGAGAATTGCTTGAACCCAGGAGATGGAGGTTGCAGTGAGCCGAGATTGCACCACTGCACTCCAGTCTGGGCGACAGACCAAGACTCCGTCTCAAAAAAAAAAAAAAGTGGGATGCCCTGGAGAGAGGGTGTCTGCCTGGGGTCCCCCATAAAGAAACTGCTTTTAACCTGTCCAGAATGAGAGGAGACCCCACAGGAGGCAGAGGAATACCATCAGAATGCCCTCAGGTGCTGTTTGCAAGGAACAGCCTCCCCGTATATGTCGTATGTATTTTGGCAATAGGAGTATTGGGTAGGAGAGGAATAAACAGTGCAAACCTCCTTTGTGCAGCTTCCAGAATCTCGTCTTTGGAGGGCTGTCCCTGCGACGTGAGTGGGGCGCCTCCCCCACCACTAAAACAGGAGTGAATGAAGTTCGTGGTTGTGCGCCCCCTCCTGGCAAAATGCAGCTGTGCGTCCAGGATGCCTGGATCTTCCCTGTGGCCCAGGACTGCAGGAGGCGTTCTGAGCTGTGGCCCTCTTACCAGGGTGGAGCCAGGTGGAGTCTCTGGGGCTGCTGAACCAGCTGTAGGGATGGTGCTGCTATTCTTCCTGGCATCCAGCCTAGGCATCTTCATATTTCCCACTTTGTCCCTGCTGTTTCCTGATTCAAGGGCTGCCCCATTATACAAGCTCTGGGTCTCTTCAGTGGGGACAATGAGAAAAACATTTGATTCGATAACATATAAACCACTAGTGTGAGATTCATGCAGCGTCATAGGAAGGGGGGTGATGTGTTTGAAAACCGTGAGCAGGTTAAGGTATTAAGCAGCTAATTCTGTCTCCCAAGTTTTCTCTCTCTTTTCCTCCCTCCTGCCACATGAAGGGTGCTTGGCTTCTTACCTACTGTAATTAGACGTCTTTTCTTCTTCAGAGAAGGCATGAGACAGGGATTTGATTGTAGTTATCACTGTAAACATCAAACTGATTTGTATGCAGAACTGTTGCCCCAGGGCCTACCTTCCAAGGAACCTGGTTTCTCCTTACCTAGCGAATTCCACATACACATAGATGTACACCCACCTGTATACTCACAGATTGGGTGGCGATTAAAGGGACAGAATCAGGGACCAACTCCTTGATAGGAATGCAGTGTTGCCACGGCGTGACAGCATGGAGCAGTTGAGGGAATGGCTGCCCAGGAGAACTCAGAACTCTTAAAATGTAGTTCCAGGCCGCCCTCATTGCCCTGATATTCGGGCTATCAGACGGATGTGTGTTCTAGGCCCTGAACTGCACAGAGAGTGGCAGAATGGGCTAGATAAACAGGTCAGCCCAGAATTGTATTTCCACACTGCCTGCCCTCAGTCACAACCCCCACCAGGAAAGGGAAGTGGCCCCAAGACTCCTTCCTCCTTCACCCACTCGAGGAAACAAGAGTTCCTGTTACGTGGCAGGAATGATGTCTTTTGGTCCCAGTTAATCCCTCTGAGTCACCCGGTGGCCTTTGCCAAGTGCTGGAGCTGGAAGAGATGATAGAGACACTCATCTGGTTTCCTGAGGCTCTCCTCACAGCTGTTGAATTCTAGAGGTGCATTTCAGTGGCTTGGGGCATGGCGAGACCTTGGAGTCTCCCTGAGCAGAGCAGTGGAGAGGCCCAAAAAGAAGGAAGAACCTAGGATGGCAGATGGGGCCCTCCTTGCCCCAGGGAACTTCATGTTTGTACTTTCTCAAGAAGCACACCTTTCCCCAGTTCAACAGGAGAGGGTGGGGAGACTGGCAGGGAAATTGCTTTCCAGCTTTGTGTTTGATGGTTGGGGTGAGGGTGGCCAGGGAAGGAGGTAAAATCAGGCTGACCTCAAGATAGACCCGAGATGTCCCAGTTCTGGCCACTCTAAGTCTCTAAAGCAGCAGCTGGTGGGAGGGGCAGTATTGGGCAGTATGTCGGGGAGGCCACCTGTCTGCTCACACAGTACAATTGATGTGCCCCTCCCAGGCATATATCCCTCTTCCTCCTCGCTGGGCCCCATGGGTAGATAAGGTGACTGGAGGGGCGCCAAGAAAAGGGTGGTGCCCCCACAGGCATCTGAAAACAAAGCTGCTGCTGCATTTGACCAGTTTGGAGATTAGAATGGTTTTGTGATTAGCCAGGCAGGGGGTGGGGTCAGAGTTCTGGACATCTCACTGGATTTGGGGGTCAGCATACCCTACCAAGGCTGACATTCACTCCTAGGTAATGGCCTGGGACCCTCAGGTGACTTGTGCACTCTCTGGCTATGTATTGTTGAATGAAAAGGGGACATACAAATCTCTTTTCAGCTGTTCTGAAATAACCCTTGCCACATGGGAACACAGTCTATTCAATATGAAGAATTCAAACCTAACACAAGTGGGTGAGAAGCAGGAACCTACCGCTAGGCCCCACTGCATTCTCTCAGAGGTGGTCTCAGTAGCTGGAACTTGGAGAAGTAGTTTTGGTGTGGTGTTGGGACATGGGTGAATCCAGGGCCTGGTTTGGAATTGCTCTGGCAGGAACCCTGAGCTAACGTCAGTTGGAAGCTCTGTGTCCTCCCCCTCCTGAGTCCTGTTTTTCCTGGAAAACCTTGACCCACCCCTGTGGAATGTGGGGATGTGTGGGAGAAAGCCGACTGCTTTTACTCCCACTCAGAAAATTCTGTTGTGTCTTCTCCAAGGGGGTGTTCCTCAGCCTGCACCCCAGTGAAGGGCCTCTGAGGAGCTCCCAATGCCACTGGCAAACTGTCTGTAACCTTTGGTCCCCAGCCACCTCCCAGCCCCTGTTCTCTTAATTCCTGCTTCTTGGCTTGGAGGGAGGAAGCTGTTTGTAAAGACTGAGTTAGGGAACTCGAGGGTTCCTGAAGCTTTAAAGCGCCTCAAAGCCCTCACCCTGCACATGACCTGTCACCTGGAGCCTGCCACAGCCCCACCCCTGCCTGTTCTTACAGGGGCTCCGGTGCCTCCAGGGTCACACAGCACCATGTGGAAACTATTCCTCAAGGCAGTTCTCCTTGGCCTTTTTATTCTCTGAATCATGCATTTTTCTGCCCTTATTTGGTGTGGTTTGGTTGCTGGGCAGCTGTCCAGGGTGAGTTTGTAGGAGGAAGCACAGCCAAGCAGCCCAGCTCTGCTTATGGGACAGTCTTCCTCCCGCCCTCCCTGAGAGTGCAAGAGCCCCACAGAGACTATCAGGCATGGCTGTTGAACTGCTGGGAAGGGAGCTCAGGCTTTTTTTTTACTCCCCAAGAGAAGAATTCTTTCTGAGATGTTTTTGTGGTTGGAGAATATTTTTGCCATTGCTTTGAGAAGACTTCCCCTCCTAACTCCCCCTCTTTCCTGGGAATTTCCTTCCTTAAATGGAAAGCCTTCAACATTCACTCCAAGCTCGCCCTTCTAGCTCCCCCCAGGAAAAATAACAAGCAAACAGAGGTGCTTGCCCAGGGTCCCTGGAGGGGGCTTCCCTTAGAGGTGGGCTGTGTGATCCCCTGCCAGGAGGGGGCGTTGGGGGCCACTCCTTCATTAACGATGTTAGGCTCAAGCTAACTGAACTTTTTTTGCACATGCCTCTGTACAGAGAGCTGTGCATAAACACACACTGCTCGGCAGGACAGAGCAAGACTGGGAACTGAGGGCACGTCCCTTCCTCCGTACGTCAAACTCTTGCTGAGGCGAGTCCCAGGCCTTAAAAGTGGGATCTCTGCACTCTGGGCTTTCTCCAGCTCCCCTGGGGAAGGGAGGCTTGGGGCGAGGTGGGCACGGGGCATCTTTCTGGCCCAACTGTGAAGTCCCAAAAAGTTTCACAAAGTTTCTATTGAATGATAGCGTTCTTCTTCTCTTTCTCCAGGGTTGAGTTCCAGAATAAATTCTACAGCGGGACCGGTTTCAAGTTCCTACCCTTCTCCTTCGAGCATATTCGGGAAGGGAAGTTTGAAGAGTGAGCCCCTGTGAGGGCCATGTGCCCCATGCTGCCCTCCCCACCTCTCTCCACAGTGATCAGCTGTGCTTCTCTGCCTGTGGTTGTGATCTGTGGGCACCAGCGCATTCGTGGCACCCGTCTGTGAGTCATTTAGATAGAATAGTCCTCCCTGGGCCTCCCATCACCCTAGCTTTGTGTGTAGTGTAGTGATTTTCTCGTGGTCACTCATACCCACTGGGCACCAACCTTGCCTTCTTAGCTTCCCTCCATCCAGACAGCCCTTCCCGCCTCCTGGTGGTGAGCCAGTCTGCATTCCCATGCCATCCCAAAGTCCTTTCATCTTCCCCGTGCATTGTAGATGGAAGGAGCACCCATGACATTCATATCTAGACTTTGAGTTCCCTGCATCCGCCACTGTAGTTTCTAGCAGGAGTAGTGGGGGGAAGCAATACAGCTTCTCCCCTAGAAGGGGACGCTGGTAACATGTCCCACTCTTGGGTTAGCAGGGGTGGGTCCAGGAAGGTGATATTTGCGTCCTTTGCCCACCCCCCTCTCGTGCTTGTTAATCAGGCATTCAGCTGGACCCAACTAGGCCATCATGAGTGGCTTCTCCCTGTCACCCCCAGGGGTCATAGGATATCTATCTCCCTGACCCCACCCTGCGCTCCCCCCCTCCTCTCTCCCTGTTCTTGTCCTGCACTACATAGCACAGCCGGGAGTGCTTGGAACAGAGGCCTTGGCTGCTCTGCAGTGCACAGGGCTTCCCTCCCCCAGGGTTGGCTTCTTCTCAGGCCTTGCATGGGCCCTGCCCACAAGCGCACCCTCAGGCCAAGGGTGCAGACTGATGCTCTTCCCTGGTGGAGACCCTGAGATCTTCCCCACCCGCAATCATGATGGCTTCAGTGTGGGACTGAGGTCTTCTTGGTTCTGCCTGCAGCCTGCCTAGCTCTGCCCCCCAGTGCCCACTCCTCACCACACTGGCCCCAGGTCTCAGGAGGGGTGTCCTGGGCCGGGAAGGTCAGTGTCACTGATGGTTTGCTGTTTGGAAGCCACTGGCAGGGCTGCCGTGCATGTGGCTGTGAGGGCTGCACAGCCCTGCCAAGGGGCTTCCTCCCTGTCACCCCAAACCTTGTAATCATGTGCTGGTGTGGCAGCCCCAGCTAAGTTAATCCCCACTGCTTTCAGTGGTAGAAAGAATTCCCTGAGTGGGCCAGGCTGGTGTCCTCCTCCCACCCTTGCTTTTCTGAGTGAGCTGCCTGGAGCCCTCATCCCCTCTCTCAGGCTGGACTGGCCCTGGGCGGGGCCACTGTGTGCTTGTCCACTGTGACCTGACCAGACCTTGTGCAGCCCCCTGCCCTGGTGTCCCGGGTTTTTGTGATGATCTTTGCTCTGTTTCCAGTGGGGTTTGAAGCATAGTTCAGGGAACCCTGCCCAAGGCCCTCCTGTTGAGACATTCCTATGTTGAATAAAGTATGTTTGACTCCCCCAGAGAAGCTGCCTGTCACTGTGCCCACAGCCCCTGTGTCACTCCAGGCTCAGCCGTCTTGAGCCCCTTTGGACCCCCAACCTTTGCCTCCCTCCTCCAGCGTTGCTGCTTTTCCTTGTGTCAAAGGCCACAGCTGCAGTAGGCCTGGCTGGGCAGTTGGTTTGGGAAATTCTCACCTTGTTCCAAGTTTCCCAGGCACCTTCCCACTCACAGGATCCAAGTCAGCTCTGCAGATACTACCTATGGGAGGAGGGGACTGGGCGGCCCATCTTCATCTCCCCTTCACTCATTGCACATCCAGACAGCATGGGGGCAGAGGGGCACTGGGTATCTCCCCACCTGTCTCTCCCTGTTCTCCAAGTGTGCCCTCCAGGGCCCAGTGGCCTGGCTATTTTGAGCCCTGACACCCCTGGCCTTAGTGTAAGTGGAGGCTCCACACAGATTCCTCAGGGCAGCTGGGGAATGTGAGGTGCTGGGATTGGCAGGCGGCAGGACGGAGAGCAGGCAGACCGTCCAGGGCGGCGGGCTGGGCAGGAGGCCCCCTCCCCACTGCCTAGTGAGACACTGCATTCTCGGTGCCCGCCCTCTTCGCTCCTCCCTCCAGGGGCCTCCAGGGCAGGGGCTGCCCAGGAATGTGACCTGGGCAGGCTGACCAGCACTGCCCCCAGACAGGTGAAAGGGCCGCAACCCCCTACAACCCCCTGTTCGTTCCATGTTCCAGCCTAGCCTGAAGCCCTTCCTCCTCCCTAACAGTGCTACCTGTCCCTGGAGTCGGCCCTGAGGGGCCCACCCCACCCAGCTCCTCAAATATAAGGTCTCCAGTGGAAACTCTGGTCAGGGAGCTCTCAGCTTCTGCTCGGTGGGAAGGGAAGGCCTCATAAGAATAGATATTTGGAATCAGTGAATTCGAATTGAGAGTCCAGGAATAAATCCTAACATTTATGGTCACTTGATTTTTGATAAAGGGGTCAAGATAATTCACTGAGGAAAGATCTGTCTTTGTCAACAAATGACACTGGTACAATGGGGTTTCCACATGCAGAGGAACAAATTTGGGCCACTACCCCCACCATATGCAAAAATTAACTCAAAGTGGATTCCAGACCTAAAATGTAAGTGAAAACTATAAAACTCTTAGGGGAAACCATAGGAGTACATCTTCCTAACCTTGAGTTAGCCAGTGATTTCTAGATATGACACCCAAAGCACAAGTGATAAAAAATAAAAAATACATAGATAAGTTAGGCTTCAGCAAAATTTAAAGCTTTTGTGCTTCGCCGGGCACGGTGGCTCAAACCTGTAATCCCAGCACTTTGGGAGGACAAGGCAGGTGGATCACCTGAGGTCAGGAGTTCGAGACCAGCCTGGCCAACATGAAGAAACCCTGTCTCTACTACAAATACAAACAAGTAGCCGAGTGTGGTGGTGCATGCCTGTAATCCCAGCAACTTGGGAGGCTGAGGCAGGAGAATTGCTTGAACCCGGGATTCAGAGGTTGCAGTAAGCCAAGGTCATGCCACTGCACTCCAGCCTGGGTGACAAGAGTGAAACTCTATCTCGAAAGAAAAAAATGTTTGTGCTTCAAAGGTTAGAATCTAGAAACTGAAAAGACAACCCTCATAGAAGAAAATATTTGTAGATCATTTATCTGATAAGGGACTTGTATCTAGAATATAAGTAACTCTTACACCCAATAATAAAAACAACTCAGTTTTTTTAAATAGGCAAAGGGTTTGAATAGGCATTTCTCCAAGTAAGCTATATGAATGGCCAATAAAGCCATGAAAAGATGTTCCACACCATTAGTCATTACAGAAATGCAAATGAAAACCACAAGGAGATACCACATCACACCCACAAAAGGCAATAAGAAAAATACAGGTGTTGGGCCGGGCGCGGTGGCTCACGCCTGTAATCCCAACACTTTGGGAGGCTGAGGCAGTCGGATCACGAGGTCAGCAGATTGAGACCATCCTGGCTAACACGGTGAAACCCCATCTCTACTAAAAATATAAACAATTATCCGGGCGCGGTGGCGGGTGCCTGTAGTGCCAGCTACTCGGGAGGCTGAGGCAGGAGAATGGCGTGAACCTGGGAGGCGGAGCTTACAGTGAGCTGAGATCCGGCCACTGCACTCAAGCCTGGATGACACAGCAAGACTCCGTCTCAAAAAAAAGAAAAGAAAAGAAAAGAAAATTACAAGGAGAAATTGGAACCCCAATTCACTGCTGGTGGGAATGTAAAATGGTGCAGCTGCTTTGGAAAGCAGTCTGGCAGTTCCTCAAAATATTAAACAGAATTGGCTGGGCACAGTGGCTCATGCCTGTAATCCCAGCACTGTGGGAAGCCCAGGTGGGTGGATCATGAGGTCAGGAGTTCAAGACCAGCCTGGCCAAGATGGTGAAACCCCGTCTCTACTAAAAATACAAAAATTAGCCGGGTGCGGTGGCAGGTGCCTGTAATCCCAGCTACTTAGGAGGCTGAAGCAGGAGAATCTCTTGAACCCAGGCGGCAGAGATTGCAGTGAGCCAAGACCACGCCACTGCGCTCCAGCCCAGATGACAGAGTGAGACTCTCTCTCAAAAAAATACATTAAACAGAATTAACCTAAGACCCAGCAATTCCACTCTCTTATCTACCCAAGAAAAACGAAATCATACCCACAAAAACTTGCACACAAATGTTCATGGCAGCATTATTCACAATAGCCCCAAAATGGAAACAGCCCAATGTCCACCAGCTGATAAATGGATCAATAAAAGGTAGGAGGGGCATGATGGATATTGTTCTACAATTAACAGGAATGAGATACTGATAAATGCTACAACATGAATGGACCTCAAAAACCAGCCACAGAAGACCAACAATGTATGATTCCGTGTATCTGGAATGTCTAGAATAGACAAACCCATAGACACAGATTTGGTGGATGCCAGGACTGGGTGCTGGATGGGGCTAGGGAGAGAGTTACAGTGGGGAGTGACTCCTAAGGAGTATAGAGTTTCTTTTTGAATGATGAAAATGTAAAGTTAGGCTGCTGATGGCTGCACAATTATGTGAATATACTAAAACCCATTGAATTGTACACTTTACATTGGTAATTTTTTTTTTTTTTTTTGAGATAGAGTCTTGCTCTGTTGCCCAGGCTGGAGTACAGTGGCATGATCTTGACTTACTGCAACCTCCACCTCCCGGGTTCAAAGGATTCTCCCACCTCAGCCTCCTGATTACCCAGGATTACAGGTGCGCACCACCACACCCCGCTAATTTTTTTTTTTTTTTTTTTCTGAGATGGAGTTTCACTCTTGTTGCCCAGGCTGGAGTGCAGTGGTACCATCTTCACTCCCTGCAACCTCCACCTCCCAGGTTCAAGTGGTTCTCCTGCCTCAGCCTCCTGAGTAGCTGGGATTATTGGCATGCAGCACCACGCCCTAATTTTTGTATTTTTAGTAGAGACGAGGTTTCACCATGTTGGCCAGGCTGGTCTCGAACTCCTGACCTTATATGATCTGCCTGCCTTGGCCTTCCAAAGTGCTGGGATTACAGGCGTGAGCCACCGGGCCCAGCCTCACATTGGCAAATTTTATGGCATATAATCTGAATAAAATGGGAGTGGCCTAGGGCTTCCTTGGGAAGAAATTCCTCCCATGCCTCTCTGATGAACTGTGAGGAAGCAGGGCCAGTGAGTCCTTGGCTAGACTGAGTTCTCAGAATCCAGTGGCCTTGGGCTGCTTCCAGCTGAAGATGTGTTGACCAAGATTGAGCTGTGGAGTGTGCAGGAAGTCCCAAAGCCCTGTGGTAGGGGGTGGGGAACAGGATAGCTGCATCCATTTGTTCCTGGGGTTTTTTTGTTTGTTTTTGTTTTGTTTTGTTTTGTTCGAGATGGAGTTTTGCTTTTGTTGCCCAGGCTGGAGTCCAATGGGGCGATCTTGACTCACTGCAACCTCTGCCTTCCAGGTTCAAGCGATTCTCCTGCCTCGGGCTACCAAGTTGCTGGGACTACAGGCGCCCACCACCACACCCGGCTAATTTCTTGTATTTTTAGTAGAGATGGTGTTTTGCTGTGTTGGCCAGGCTGGTCTGTAACTCCTGACCTCAAGTGATCCACCCATCTCGGCTTCCCAAAGTGCTGGGATTACAGGTATGAGCCACCGTGCCTGGCCATTTCCTTCTGTTTTTTGTTTGTTTGTTTGTTTGTTTTTTTGAGACGGAGTCTTGCTCTGTCACCCAGGCTGGAGTGCAGTGGTGTGATCTCAGCTCACCGCAAGCTCCGCCTCCCGGGTTCACGCCATTCTCCTGCCTCAGCCTCCCGAGTAGCTGGGACTACAGGCGCCCGCTACCACACCCGGCTAATTTTTTGTATTTTTAGCAGAGAAGGGGTTTCACTGTGTTAGCCAGGATGGTCTCGATCTCCTGACCTCATGATCCGCCCACCTCGGCCTCCCAAAATGCTGGGATTACAGGCGTGAGCCACCGCGCCCGGCCTCTCCTGTTTTTAAGAGATGTGCCCTTTACCCTGATCCCCTTCTTGTGGAACCCCAAGGACCCCAGACGTGTGTCTGATGAGTCTGTGCTCCTGTCCAGGAAATGCCCCTCATCTTGAGGTCCTAGAACCAGTGTTGGAGAGGGTGGCCTTGGCATCCTTGGCCTGAGGAGTCCCAAGCTTTGTAGAGATAGGCGACAAGTCTATCACCAGACTGCACTTCTTTCTGCCCCAGGAACCTTGGGTAGAGGGGGCATTGGACCTCAAAGCCAGCTGGCAGCCTCAGTGTTTCAGATTAAAGTGGCCTGCCCCCTCAATGCCTCAGCCTACCCAAGGCATGTCCTAGGTGTGGGCTGCTCTCTGGTGGCCAGATAGGGAAGGACTCATTCCTCCTTTGGCAAGGTGGGCTGGGATCTGAGCTGGGCTGTGTGATAGGCAGGCAACTGGATTAGATGGGCAGAGACTAAGCAATCCTGGGGTATTCTGGAGTGCATGAGCAGAGGGGTAGGCTAGCCAGGAGCAAAAGATGAGATGGGCTGGAGAGCATGCAGAGAACCCAGCCAACTTGCTTCACACACACTACTGGAAAAGTAATGAGTTGTGTCACATAGTAAAAGATCAGGCCAGGTGCAGTGGCTCATGCCTGTAATACCAGCACTTTGGGAGGCTGAGGCGGGTGGATCACCTGAGGTCAGGAGTTCAAGACCAGCCTGGTGAAACCCCATCTATACTAAAAATACAAAAATTAGCCAGGCGTGGTGGTGCATGCCAGTATTCCCAGCTAGTCTGGAGGCTGAGACAGGAGATGGCACCACTGCACTCCAAACATGGGGGACAGAGCCAGACTCCATTTCAAAAAAAAAAAAAAAAAGGATCGAACAGTACTAAAGGCCCTATTATCAAAAAACAAAAACAAAAAAAAGGCTTTCACTCAAAATGTGAATCTCCCCCTCCCTCCCACAACCACTGTTTACAGAGCCTTAAAATTTAAAAAAAAAAAAACAAGCAAACAAACAGATGATAATGTGTTATCTTACTTTGTCGCTCTGTTGCCTGACCTGGAGTGCTGTGGTGCCATCTGGGCTCACTGCAGCCTCGACCTCCCAGATTCAAGCGATCCTCCCCTCTCAACCTCCCGAGTAGCCGAGACCGCAGGTGCATGCCACCATGCCAGGCTAATCTTTGTACTTTTTGTAGAGAAGGGGTTTTGCCATGTTGCCCAAGCTGGTCTCGGACTCCTAGACTTAAGTGATCCACCTGCCTCAACCTCCTAGGATCAAGGGCCACCGCAATGGGCTAGACTTTTTTTTTTTTTTTTCAATTTTAAAGTCAGAGTCTTGCTTTGTTGCCTGGCCTGGAGTTGCAGTGGTGTGATTGTGACTCACTGCAGCCTTAAACCCCTGGGCTCAAGCCATCCTCCTGTCTCAGCCTCCTGAGGAGCTAGCTGGGACCACAAACACAGGCCTCTGTGCCCAAGTTTTGTAGAGACGGGGTTTCTCCATGTTATCCAGGCTGGTCTCAAACTCCTGGACTCAAGTGGTCCACCTGCCTCAGCCTCCCTAAGTGCTGTGATTACAGGTGTGAGTCACCACATCTGGCACACTTAGTGCAGTCCTAGAGAGTCGGCCACTCCCAGCCCCGAGCAGCCTTTCTCAAGCTCTCCCTGATCAGATAGGAAGCCTGACAAGTTGCATTGCCTGGGGAAGAGCAGCAAGAACCCTGCTCTGGGAGTCAGGAGTTCCAGTTCTAGCCCAGAGCTGCTTTCCTTACTAGTTAGTGATCTTGCCCAAGTCACTTCTGTCTCTAGCTCTGTTTCCCAATCTGTAAAATTGTTACTGGAAAGGTCCCAATCCAGACTCAAAGAAAGGTGAAGACAGCAAAAATCACACCCCCTCCAGACAAAAAGTTCTTATCTGAGCAATTTGGATAAGGAGCAATCCAAGGAGCAAAGACACCTGTTGACCATCAAATAGGCAATCTGGAGGCAAAACTCCTTGTGTGGGGAATTTGAAAGTAATCAAGGCCAGGCATGGTGGCTCACACCTGTAATCCTAGCACTTTGGGAGGCCAAGGCAGGTGGATCACTTGAGGTCAACAGTTAGAGATCAGCCTGGCCAACATGATGAAACACAGTCCCTACAAAAATTAGCCGGGCCTGATGGTGCACACCTGTAATCCCAGCTACTCAGGAGGCTGAGACAGGAGAACTGCTTGAACCAGGAGGTGGAGGTTGCAGTGAGCTGAGATCAGGCCAGTGCACTCCAGCCTGGGCGACAGAGGGAGACTGTCTCAAAAGAAAAAACAAAAAAAACTTCTCTAGTATTTAAAATTGGCATCTGATTCCAAGCCTCTTTCAACTTTTATAAGGAACTAAAATGTCTATACATTTATATACACACACACACACACACACACACACACACACACACCAAACACTTATTTCTCACACTTCTGCAGGCTGGAAAGTCCAAGATGAAGGTGCTTACAGATTCAGTCTTTGGTGAGGGCTCACTCCCTGCTTAATAAGCTGTGCCTTCTCACTGTGGTTTCATATGGTAGAAGCGGGTAGGGCTTTCTCTCTGGCCTCCCTTACAAAGGCACCAATCTCATTCCTGAGGGCTCTGCCTTCACAACCTAAAATTTCTGTACATTCTATGCCGTGCTGAAGCTCAATTTACAACCCTAAGTTCCCACCTTAAGGTCCACACATGCTCCTAAGGAAAATCCACCGCAGCACACTCAGTCCTCCCGCAGAGGCACCGCTGCACTCGGCTGCAGCGTTCTTCCTTTCTAATAAACTTTCCTTTTCCAAACCTATACTGTTGTTGGTAAGTTCTTTTTTTTTTTGAGACCCCTCCTCCCACCCCAAGACATGCCGGTAGTTCCAGCTAGTTGGGATGCTGAGACAGGAGATGGCGCCACTGCACTCCAGCCTGGGCGACAGAGGGAGACTCCATCTCAAAAAAAGAAAAAAAGGATCAAACAGTACTAAAGACCCTATTATAATTATGTCTTTCACCCACAGTGTCCCTGAATCTCCCCCTCCCTCCCACAACCACTGTTTACAGAGTCTTAAATAAATAGATGATAATGTGTTACCTTGCTCAGTCCCTGGCCTGGAGTGCTGTGGTGCCATCTGGATTCACTGCAGCCTCGACCTCCCAGGCTCAAACGAACCTATTCTCCCAACCTGTAGCTGGGACCACAGGTGCATGCCACCATGCTGGGCTAATCTTTGTATTTTTTGTACAGAAGGGGTTTTGCCATGTTACCCAGGCTGGTCTTGGACTCCTAGACTCTAATCCACCTGCCTCAACCTCCTAGGATCAGGGGTCACTACGATGGGCTAGACTTTCTTTTTTGAGTCAGGATTTCGCTCTGTTGCCTGGTCTGGAGTGCAGTGGTGTGATCATGGCTCACTGCAGCTTCAAACCCCTGGGCTCAAGCCATCCTCCTGTCTCAGCCTCTGAGGAGCTAGCTGGGACCACAAACACAGGCCTCTGTGCCCAGAAGATTTTTGTAGAGACGGGGTTTCTCCATGTTACCCAGGCTGGTCTCAAACTCCTGGACTTAAGAGCTCCACCTGCCTCCACCTCCATAAGTGCTGTGATTACAGGAGTGGGCCACCCCATCTAACACATCTAGTGCAGTCCTTCTAGAGAGTCGGTCACTCCCAGCCCCAGAGCAGCTTTACTCAAGCCCTCCCTGATCAGATAGGAAGCCTGACAAGTTGCATTGCCCGGGGAAGAGCAGCAAGAACCCTGCTCTGGGAGTCAGGAGTTCCAGTTCTAGCCCAGAGCTGCTTTCCTTACTAGTTAGTGATCTGGCCCAAGTCACTTCTGTCTCTAGCTCTGTTTCCCAATCTGTGAAATTGTTACTGGAAAGCGGTCCCAATCTAGACCTTAAGAAAGGTGAGAGAGCGAAAATCACCTGGTGACCATTGAACAGGCCCCGGAGACAAAAAGTTCTTATCTGAGCAATTTAGATAAGGAGCAATCCAAGGAGCAAAGACAACTGTTGGCCATCAAACAGGCAATCTGGAGGCAAAACTCGTCTGGAGAATTTAGAAGTAATCCCAGCACTTTGGGAGGATGAGGTAGATGGATCACTTAAGATCAAGAGTTCGAGGGAGCGGCACCAGCGGCCGGACACCGCGCGAGGCGACGCCACAAGGCAGCGGCAGCAGCGGGGGCGATGGCGGCAGCAGGAGACGCAGCGGCGGCCGCAGCAGCAGCAGCAAGAAGACTTGAGATGCGCCGCCGCCGCCAGGCCGGGCCGAGTGTCGCGCGCCGAGGCTGAGTGGGGAGTCGTCGCCGCCGCCACCGCTACCGCCGCTGCCGCCGAGGTGACGGAGGAGAGAGGCACCTCCTCGCTCCCGCCGCCGCCGGACTTCAATGCCCAGCCCCCAGCTCGCCAGCGTGTTTCGTTGGAATATACCTTGCACATTTACGGCGATTCTGAGGGTGAGGGCAGACTTCTGCCAGGCTCAGCACAGCGTTTTCGCTGACAAGTTAGCTTGGAAGTTCTATGTGCCATAATTAACATTGCCTTGAAGACTCCTGGACACTGAGACTGGCCTCAGAAATAGTTGGCTTTTTTTTTTTTTAATTGCAAGCATATTTCTTTTAATGACTCCAATAAAATTCAGCATCAAGTAAACAAGTGGAAAGTGACCTACACTTTTTTTTTTTTTTTGATACTGAGTCTCGCTCAGTTGCCCAGGCTGGAGTGCAGTGGCGCGATCTCGGCTCACTGCAAGCTCCGCCTCCCAGGTTCACCCCATTCTTCTGCCTCAGCCTCCCAAGTAGCTGGCACTACAGGTGTCCGCCGCCACGCCCGGCTAATTTTTTTGTATTTTTTGTAGAGACAGGGTTTCACTGTGTTAGCCAGGATGATCTCGATCCCCTGACCTCGTGATCGGCCCACCTCAGCCTCCCAAAGTGCTGGGATTACAGGCGTGAGCCACCGCGCCCGGCCAACCTACACTTTTAACTTGTGTCACTAGTGCCTAAATGTAGTAAAGGCTGCTTAAGTTTTGTATGTAGTTGGATTTTTTTGGAGACTGAAGGTATCCATCTGCAGAAATTGAGGCCCAAATTGAATTTGGATTCAAGTGGATTCTAAATAATTTGCTTATCCTGAAGAGAGAAGCTTCATAAGGAATAACCAAGTTGAAGAGAGAAAACAGATTGATAATAGGTATTTTAGTGGTCTTTTTAATGTTTTCTGCTGTGAAACATTTCAAGATTGAATTTTTTTTTCCACTTTCCCCATCACACACTCACGCTCACACTTTTTATTTGCCATAATGAACTGTCCAGCCCCTGTGGAGATCTCCTATGAGAACATGTATTTTCTGATAACTCACAACCCAACCAATTCACAGAGGAACTTAAGAAGTATGGAGTGATGACTTTGGTTCGAGTTTGTGATGCTACCTATGATAAAGCTCCAGTTGAAAAAGAAGGAATCCACGTTCTAGTTTGGCCATTGGATGATGGAGCTCCACCCCCTAATCAGATAGTAGATGATTGGTTAAACCTGTTAAAAACCAAATTTCATGAAGAGCCAGGTTGCTCCGTTGCAGTGCATTGTGTTGTGGGATTGGGAAGGGGCACCTGTGCTGGTTGCACTTGCTTTGATTGAATGTGGAATGAAGTACGAAGATGCAGTTCAGTTTATAAGACAAAAAAGAAGGCGAGTGTTCAATTCCAAACAGCTGCTTTACTTGGAGAAATACCGACCTAAGATGCAATTACACTTCAGAAATACCAATGGGCATTGCTGTGTTCAGTAGAGAGAAATGTAAAAGAAGGCTGACTTGATTGTGGCATTTAGAGGGAACTCTTGGTACCTGGAAATGTGAATCTGGAATCTTACCTGTGTCATCAAAGTAGTGATGGATTCAGTACTCCTCAACCACTCTCCTAATGATTGGAACAAAAGCAAACGAAAGAGAAATATCTCTATAAAATGAATAAAATGTTTAAGAAAAAAAAAAAGAGTTCAAGACCAGCCTGGACAACATGGCAAAACCTCATCTCTACAAAGGTTAGCCAGGTGTGGTGGCATGTGCCTGTAATCCCAGCTACTCAGGAAACTGAGATAGGAGAATGGCTTGAACCTGGGTGGCCGAGGTTCCTGTGAGGTGAGATTAAAAAAAAAAAAAAAAAAATCATACTTTCCTAGTATCTAAAGCCGGCATCTGATTCCAGGCCTCTTTCTTTTTTTTTTTTTTTTTTGAGACGGAGTCTCGCTCTGTCGCCCAGGCTGGAGTGCAGTGGCCAGACCTCAGCTCACTGCAAGCTCCGCCTCCCGGGTTAGCGCAATTCTCCTGCCTCAGCCTCCCGAGCAGCTGGGACTACAGGCGCCCGCCACCTCGCCCGGCTTATTTTTTTGTATTTTTAGTAGAGACGGGGTTTCACTGTGTTAGCCAGGATGGTCTCGATCTCCTGACCTCGTGATCCGCCCGTCTCGGCCTCCCAAAGTGCTGGGATTACAGGCTTGAGCCACCGCGCCCGGCTCCAGGCCTTTTTCAACCTTTTTTCTTTTTTCTTGTTTGAGATGGAGTCTTGCTCTGTCATCCAGGCTGGAATGCAATGGCGCAATCTTGGCTCACTGCAACCTACACCTCCAGCATTCAAGCGATTCTCCTGCCTCAGCTTCCCAAGTAGCGGGGACCACAGGAGTGTGCCACCATGTCTGGCTAACTTTTGTATTTTTAGTACAGATGGGTTTTCACTATATGTCGGCCAGGCTGGTCTCAAACCCCTGACTTCAGGTGATCTGCAAGCCTCAGCCTCCCAGAGTGCTGGGATTACAGGCATAAGCCACCGCTCCTGGCCTAAGGTTGGCTATTTTTATGGTTATTTCTTGATTATATGATAAACAAGGGGTGGGTTAGTAATAAGTTTTCCAGAAGAGGGGTGGGGATTCCTCCCCAACTGAGGGTTCCTCCACTACTTAGACCATATAGGGTAACTTCTGGACGTTGCCATGGCATTTGTAAACCTCCTGGTGCTGCTGGGAGTGTCTTTAGCATGCTAATGCATTATAATTAGCGTATAATGAGCAGCAAGGACGACCAGAGGTCACCTTCCTGATTGTCTTGGTTTTGGCAGGTTTTGACCGGTTTCTTTGCTGCATTCCGTTTTATCAGCGGGGTCTTGTGACCTTTTACCTTGTGCTGGCCTCCTGTCTCATCCTGTGAGGAGGAAGGCCTAACCTCCCAGGAATTCAGCCCAGCAGGTCCCTGTCTCATTTTACGCAGCTCCTGTTCAAGATGGAGTCGCTCTGGTTGGAAACTTCTGACAAAATGACAGCTTCTGTCATGTTGCTGCTGCTGCCAATGGACAGCCTTTACCGTGTCCGCCAGCCCTGCCCCACGGCCGGCCTGGGCTCACATGGCCCCATCCCTCCTCGAACCTCCTAGCCTGTTCCTCAAATCTGCAAGCTCTCTGCCTTCCCAGGGCCTTCATAAATGCATTTCTTCTCTCTGGAAGGCTCTTCCTTTCCCTCTTCTAGTCAATTCCTATTCATCTCTGAGTTTCAGGTTAAAAGTCACTTCCTTTGGAAGTCTTACCCTTGCACTTCTTCGCAGCATCACAACTATGATGGAAATCCTTATTTCTGTAAGTATTTGATTTCTAGGTCACCCCCCTGACACGGACGGTAGGGACCGTCTTCTCGTTCATCAGTAGGGCAGTAGCTATGGCAGTGCCTGATACAGTGCTCTGTGAGGGCCAGCGGGTCCCCTTCGGCCCTGGAGCCAGGGTCACGCGCTCCCCACCGCATGCGGTCACGAGACGCCCCCAAGGGAGTGTCCTGGGACCCGGAAGCCACGACTCCTGGCCCTGAGCCCGGGTTTGGCCTTCGGGTCCACGTGGCCGGAGGCCGGCAGCTGATTGGACGCGGGCCGCCCCGCCCCCTGGCAGTAGCGGGACCCGCCGGGCTGAGACCATGGTGGCGGTGGCGGTGGCCGCGGCGGTGGGGGTCCTTCTCCTGGCTGGGGCCGGGGACGCGGCAGGCGACGAGGCCCGGGAGGCGGCGGCCGTGCGGGCGCTCGTGGCCCGGCTGCTGGGGCCTGGCCCGGCGGCCGACTTCTCGGTGTCGGTGGAGCGCGCCCTGGCTACCAAGCCGGGCTTGGACACCTACAGCCTGGGCGGCGGCGGCGCGGCGCGCGTGCGAGTGCGCGGCTCCACGGGCGTGGCGGCCGCTGCGGGGTTGCACCGCTACCTGCGCGACTTCTGCGGTTGCCACGTGGCCTGGTCCGGCTCTCAGCTGCGCCTGCCGCGGCCACTGCCCGCCGTGCCGGGGGAGCTGACCGAGGCCACGCCCAACAGGTACTGCCCCGCAGCTTCCCCGCGTCCTCCCGAGGCGCTCACCCCTTCCCTGAGCCGCTGCCACCCAAATCGGGAGGCTGAGCAGGGAGCGCTGGCCGGAAGGCCCAGCTGCGCCGCCTCCAGCAGCTGTGTGGCCTTGAGCCAGCCACTCTGCTTTTCAGAGCCTCGGCTGGCCCACCTGAAAAACGAAAACAAGACGCCTACCGTGCAGTGTTATTGTGAGGATTTGCACGATGATGGGCGTAGAATTTGTGGTGCACAATTGGTGATGAATGAATTTTCTTCCGTCCCTCCCCCACCCTCTCTTTGAACCTGCGGACTGAGGAAGGACGCCGCCATCCTCCCACACAGGCCTGTGTTCCAGCGCCTGCCACACTGTGGAGTGATGTGTCCACACAACTGTCCCCCGCCCATCTGTCAGACTGTGGGGGCAGGGATTCCCCGTTCCAGGAAAACACCGTGCAGAGGAGGGGCTCTGGCAGGGTGGCATGAAAGTGGAATATGCCACCCAAATACCCGCCAGGCTAGAGGGCCCTGGGGGAGTACAGGGGGCGAGTCCCTCAGAAGCCCAGCCCAGGTACCTGGCCACAGCTCCACCTGGGGTGGGTCCCAGTGTGAAGCAGAAGGGCATTGTTTGGAGCCCCTCCCCTCTCCTCTAGGTGGGGGTTGGGGGATTTGTTCCAGGGCTGTGGACCCTGCAGGGTGGGATGCGCCCCCGCTCATGACACTGCCCGCAGGTACCGCTATTACCAGAATGTATGCACGCAAAGCTACTCCTTCGTGTGGTGGGACTGGGCCCGCTGGGAGCGAGAGATAGACTGGATGGCGCTGAATGGCATCAACCTGGCACTGGCCTGGAGCGGCCAGGAGGCCATCTGGCAGAGGGTGCGTGCCCACTGTCCCCTCCCCACCCTCCTGCCTATGGCGGGAGCCACCCTAGGTGTTTTCACCCGCCCCCCAGCATGGGCGCAGTGTCTCTCTCTAGAAGTGCTTCCAGCGTGCACAATGGCTCTGGCCTCCTGAAAACTGAGGCTTCCGGCTGGGCGCGGTGGCTCACGCCTGTGATCCCAGCACTTTGGGAGGCCGAGGCGGGCGGATCACGAGGTCAGGAGATCGAGACCATCCTGGCCAACATGGTGAAACCGTGTCTCTACTAAAATACAAAAAATTAGCCTGGTGTGGTGGCACACACCTGTAGTCCCAGCTACTTGTGAGCCTGAGGCAGGGGACTCGCTACCCGGGAGGTGGAGGTCGCAGTGAGCCGAGATCGTGCCACTGCACTCCAGCCTGGGCAACAGAGCGAGACTCTGTCAAAAAAAAAAAAAAAAACTGAGGCTTCCAGTTTGAGGAGTGGGGCTCCTTCCCCCATCTCCCCTATGCGGCCAATCACCTGGTCCCTTGGATCCAACTCATGGTCAGCTCTAGATCTGCCTCCCTGGAAACCTCTGTGCCGCACCGGCTGCTCCAAGTGCTGTTTAAGCTCTTCACACAGCTGCCCTGCCCTTCTGTCTGGCACCCTTGCTCATGAAGCCTTCTAAGGCCTTCCTCTTGGGAGAAAGCCCCTTTGTGCCCCATCTCCTCACCCATGCGACAAAGGTGTCCCAGTGAACTCACCTATTCACAGGTCTCTTTCCTCTGGGCTGTGGGCTCCCTGATAGCAGGGGTCAGATTTTGTCTCAGTAGCCCTAGCGCCCAGCACAAAGAACAATGAGTGAATGGTTGTTGAATGAATGAATGAATGAATGAAGACGAATATATATCTATGTGTGGGCCCTTCCTCCTCAGGTGTATCTGGCCTTGGGCCTGACCCAGACAGAGATCAATGAGTTCTTTACTGGTCCTGCCTTCCTGGCCTGGGGGCGAATGGGCAACCTGCACACCTGGGATGGCCCCCTGCCCCCCTCCTGGCACATCAAGCAGCTTTACCTGCAGGTAAAAGGATGGAAAAGAGAAGGGGCAGAATCGGTGACAGATGGTCACGGGCCCAGGAAGGGTGGTATTGGGCTGGCCCTGGGGCTCTTAACTGAGGCGGGGGGGGGCTCCGTGTGTCCTGGGAGATGAGAGCCTCCCCATAGGACAGCAGTGGCCATGCTCACCACCCTTCCTTCTGTTCCTCCAGCACCGGGTCCTGGACCGGATGCGCTCCTTTGGCATGACCCCAGTGCTACCTGCATTCGCAGGGCATGTTCCCGAGGCTGTCACCAGGTAAGGTGCCGCTCACCTCCTCCACTTAGCTCAGAGAGGGAATTTTATTCCCGTCTAGAACATGACTTAAAAACTTAAGCTTTGGGCTGGGCACAGTGGCTTACCCCTGTAATCCCAGCACTTTGGGAGGCCGAATTGGGCAGATCACCTGAGGTCAGGAGTTCGAGACCAGCCTGACCAACGTGGTGAAACCGCGTCTCTACTAAAAATATAAAAATTAGCTGGGCATAGTGGCATGCGCCTATAATCCCATCTACTCAGGAGGCTGAGGCAGGAGAATTGCTTAAACCCGGGAGACAGACATTGCAGTGAATCAAAATCTCACCATTGCACTCCAGCCTGGGCAACAAGAGCGAAACTCTGTCTCAAACAAACAAACAAACTTAAGCTCTGGATGTAGGCCT